GGGTAGCTATAATTCACCTCAGGTACTTTAGCCTTGTAACTCCTGCCCAAAATCAAAAGGAACTAGGAAATTAATTAACTCTGCAACTCTTCAAATGCATGTTTGGAGCCTGCCCCTGGGTGGAAAAGACTTTGGGGGAGGTCTAATGGCAGCTCATTATCATATTGAGTGCCTGCTACAAAGGACAAAGGGAAGGCAATGCCAGCTCCCACTAAGGGCATGTGCCAGCCTGACCACTTTTCTCATTAATCTGGAAATCCACACCTGGAACCCTCCCGGAGTCTCGAATAGAACAGACGCAAAGAAAGGCTTTCGAAAAGAAGAGCTGACAAACATCGCTGACTCAGCTGTTGCCAGAAAGAGCTGTTTTCACTGCTGACCGTCTTCAGAGGGAAGTGACAGAAACTTAAGCTTTGCCAGTGTTGACAATTTCGGAGGACGGCCGGAGCGCCCCCAGAAAGCCTCCACGGACTCAGCCAAGAAATACTTTCTGCTTGTTTCGTACTTTTTTTTTTCCTCTAGGGAGGGGCTCACCTGAGGAACTCCATTCCCCCTCCCCCAAGCGTGGCATCAGTTTTTAAGTGGCAGATAAGAAACAGTACAATATGTGGAAGAAGCAATGGGACTCTGCAGAGACCTCTCAATCTTTGACCCTTCCTTTTACACAAGGTTTGGGCCAATTGAAATTGCCAGGTCACCTGGAGCAGAAAAGACAGGAGCCTGAGAGTACCTGGCCATGACTGCCAATGAAGAAACTCTATCTGGGAATGAGGAAAATCCAGGAAAGAACTCTTCATCAAACTGGTCTCTTAAGTTGTAGCTTTCCACTGACTACCTGTCTGACCTTGGCCAAGAGACTCCTTTCCTACTTCCCCTATAAGAACCTATGAGAGGCTTAATTTCCTAAGCTGTAAAAAAAAAAGGGGGGGGGGGGGGAGGAGACAACGTGGTACCATGGAAAGATCAGTAGCTCTAAAGTTGGAGGATATTGGTTCAAATCCCACTTCTTGACATTAATTACCTGTGTGACTATGGGCAAGTCATTTCTCTCCATCTGCCTAAGTTTCCTTATCGGTAAAAAGGGGTTGGAGTAAATAGATTCTTAAGTGCCTTTGGATTCTAGTTCTAAGATTCTATGACTAGGTGTTCTCTGAGGTTCCTATCAGCTCTGACATTCTATGCTTCTCATGATTTTGCCAATTTTGCATTTTTGAGATTTTTTTAAAAATTCCTAAAAGGTAACCCCAATTCAGTTATTACATTCTGACTGCCAGAGTTAGCCAGTACAGTTCCACTAAAAGAATACTGGAAATGGTGTTAGAAGGTCTGGACTTGAGTTTGGGCTGTTCCATTTACTAGCTGGGTGACCACTGACAAATCAATTCAATTCTCTGAGCTCATCAACAAAAATAAGACTAATTAGTACCACAGTTAGATAGCAAAGTGTCAGACCTGGAGTCTGGAGTGCCAGACCTGGAGTCAGGAAGACTCATCTTCATGAATACAAATCTGGCCTCAGACACTTACTAGATGTGAGACCCTCGGTCTG